CTAAACTATTAAAGTCTGTTAATGCTTATGTAATTTGTTTTTTATTCATTAAATCTACTAAACCTTGGAACCGGAATTTGGGATTTGCTACCTTGCTAAAAAATATAATATATATATAGACTATATATATTTATGTACGAACATAAAAAATTGTTTTCAAAAACTCTTTTTTCTTCTTTAACAGAATATTGTTGTATGTGCTGTAAGTGTTGTTGTTGTTGTTGCTGTTTGTTTGTTTAAAWTTAACGTAAACGTAATTGTAAATATTTGTAATTGCATTAATCATATAATTATATAAGAACACATTTTTCCGAGATATTCGATAATATTTTTTGCTTTCCTTTTTTGCTTCTTGCATTATGTATACGTAGAATCATATAAAAAATGATAATATTTAAGACATATTCATATATATATGTAATCATATATATATATGTATTGTATATATAATACACTTGTTTAGTTTACAACAAAAGGCAGAGACAACCTAGAGGGTTAGAGCGGTGTTTTTGTTTTTTTTTTGGGTTGGGATACATTAAAATAAAAATCAAGCTGAGCTCAGTTTTAAAAAAAATTACATTTATATATATATACTCGAAAATTTTGGTATAGAAACAAGAAAATTCTGCGTTTTCTCTTCTTAGTTTTGTTTTTTCTTTTTGCTTTGTTTTAAGTACTTGGCTAAGGGGCGTGGCTATTTAGCAGTGTTGTAAAACGCATCTAACTGAAAACTGGTTTTGCTTTGCTATACTTTTTTTTTAGTTTTGTTTTGTTTTTGCTTTATATTGTTTTTCTTGCTAAAATGCATTTTGACTTTAGTTTTTTTTTTTTATTTTTTTGTATATTTTGTCTATGAAGCGAAAGATTAACTGAGTTACATTTTTGTATAGATTTTATTATTACTTGATTTACTTATTTAGCCTGTTTTTGTTTTTAAGTTCTTGTCTAGAAAAAAGTATATATAATATTTTTGAAATATTTTCTTGTTTTTGTTTACTGTTTTGCTGTAGCTTGCTTTTTTCTCTCTCTCTCTCTTTCTCTTTTTTACTTTTAGTGAGTCCTCGGCCAGGATCACATCCTTGGTTGTATGCTATCTTAAATGATGATAAAGTTGTTGGTTATTTGTTGTTTGTTGTTGTTGTTGCTGTTGTTGTTGTTGGTTGTTGGTTGTTGCTGTTGCTATTGCCGCTTCAGTCCTCCAGCTGGAGCTGCTGCTGCTGCTGCAGCTCGGGCGTTGTTGCCGTTGCCGTTGCCGTTGCCAATATTTGTAGCGGACAGCCGGCAGCCGCATCTGCCACCGTATCCATAAATATCGGTTCTGGTTATGTTAGATCCTGCTGTGAATCTATTGAGAATAGCTCCTTATATAGCGCTGGGAATACAACATTCGGATGCTGTTGCTTGAACTTGCTCAACGCTTCCATATGCAAAATCGAAATATCGCTGCACGAGTAAGGAAGAGAGAGAGAGAGAGAGAGAAAATTATGAACATGATATCGATTACATATATAGAGAGATGTAGCTAACCGGAAATTGGGTATATTATTGAGAAGCGTGTCCAGCACGGTCACATCGCCCTTGAGCGGCGCATGATTCGTTTCCAGCTCCTGCCGTATTGCATTCATGCTCAGATTGAAAAGCCTCTGTATTTCCGTATTGCCGCGCACTCCATTGCGTTCTATAAAATACACATATATATCAATTGTATCTGTATTTGATCAAATTCCGGGTCACTCTACCTGGCCAGAGCAGCACTAGACTCTGATATAGCGCCAGTTCGGTTTCAGTCAGTTTTAGTTCGGCTATCGATTTAGCCGTTTGGAAAATGCGCGACACCAGACGCATCTCATCCGAATCGGATGTGTAGAACGCCTCCTGGGGCAGCATCACATCCCCATAGAGCACTGCGTTCTGTGAGAGATCTAGCAATCTGGACATGCGAACAATCGCCAGCTCAAACGAGCCCGTCTTCAGCAATAATATCTGCAAAATAGTTTTTTCTTTTAGTTTTTACTTCTTATTTATTGCTTTTGACATCTCCATTTACCTGATCATCCTGACTGAGCCGCATGAAGCCTGGTATTAGCTTTGCAAATTCGATTATGTTCTGTATCATTTGTGTCAGCTTCTCGGCGCAGTCCAGCCAGAGATCCTCTTGGCCCAGATTTTTGTAATAGAGTATGCGTGATAGATCCTGTTAAGAAAATCAAAATTTAATTATAATTATAATTTAAATCAAATTTAAATGCAAATATGCATACGTATACATTTAAAAAAATTAATTTTAACATTAAAAATATTCATCAAAGGTTCATCATTTAAAAAATCTTATTTCTGACTCATTTCTTTCCTTTATATTTTATGTCTAAATAAAGCCAAAAATATTTGGAATTTTTTTTTTTTTTTTTTTTTTTTTTTTAAATTTATATATGGGCATAGTCCTTTTAAATATAAATTGATTCCCTTTAAAAATTCTTTTGATTCGCTTAAATATTTTAATTTGGCAGTTTACAATGCTTAGTAGCTCGGAACTATAACTAAACTGTTTTAAGACTGAGCAGGTCGTATATATGTATATATAAGTAGACCTATTAATATTAGCTGCCTACTCTATCAGCATATTCTAACTCCTCTTGCTCAGCGAATATTCTAATTCGGTTCTCAGCAATTTTTTCTTTTATTTATTTTATTTTATTTATTTATTTTTTTTTTT